GCCGTAAAGCGGGGAAAGATGAGAACAATGCAGCTACAGCAGAAGTTATTTAAGGCAAATGCTAAAGCCAGAGTAATACCGGACGCGCTGGGAGGAGCACACAAGAAGCAGGTTCTAGGTCGGGGAGCTGAGGCCAAGGCTGCTGTTAGGACAGCGGTACCAGCCCTCCCGCAGCAGCGCGGCTCTACAGCCAGGCACCGTGCTGCCCTCTCCTCCGGGGCTGAGCCCGGGGCCGTGGAGCCTCCCAGCCAGGGCTGGGGAGACGGGCCAGAGGCAGCGCCCAGCTGGCAGCACCAGCAGCCCTGTGTGACTGGGATGTGTGCGCAGATGGGAGCCAGATGGGGATTACCAGGAATGCGTTGGCACAAAAACCAGTGGATCTGGTTGCATTTTATGAACAAAACAAGCTTGTCCAACACTTGCCTGTGCTTCCTTTTCTTCTTCTGGGATGGATTCATTAATTCGTTTGTTGGCAGTTTGGTTATAAGCGATTCTTTCACTGCAAACTGAAAGACCTGCCAAAGAACAGAAGCAAAAAGAAGAATAAAGTTCAGTGCACTCAAGTTGTTTTTATCTAAAGCATAAACAGAGAGAGTGCAGGCAGGCACACAGAGGGGGGCTCCCAGTCCCAGGGCCAGTAAGCGGGCAGCTCTGCCCCCAATTTCACTGACCACGGGTGCCGTTGCTTCCCTTCCCTGGGAAAGAAGAGCGCCCGCCCTGCCAGCGCGCTCGGCCTCGGCCAGGGCACTCTGGAGGGAGCTAACGGCACCGGGCACGCGCGGGGCTCGTTCTCCAAACAGCAGCACTACTGCAAAATAACCCCACCGAACTCCACAAAGCCTTGACACAACACGTGGCTTGTGGCGGAGAAGAAAACACAACAGGCGAGCAGCGGCCGAGGGCCCTCTCCTGCCGCAGGGCCCGTCCCCTTCAGGCACCCACCTGCTTGCACGTCTTTGTTCCTAGCAGCCTGGCAATGGAGCAGAAGTTGTTGAAGTAGGTCCCGT